AAGTAGTAGACGTCTACAATTTGTTAAAGAATTACAACGCCATATTGATGTTAAAGTATATGGACGATGTGGTGAAGCATGTTCAGGAAATATGAATTGCCGAGAATTTATTAGTCAAAATTATTATTTTATTCTTAGTTTTGAAAATAGTATTTGTACAGATTATACAAGTACGTTTGATTTGATTATATCACTCATATATACATATTTGTTTTTTTCTAGCTGAGAAATTTTTTGCTGCACTTGAATATCCAATTGTGCCTGTAGTTTTTGGACGTTCAAACTATTCTTCCTTCATTCCACCATCGGGATATATCGATACGAGACAATTTTCTACAATGATATCATTAGCTAAATATCTTAACGAAACTCGATCAAATAAAGAAAAATATTTATCCTATTTTTCATGGAAAAAAGATTATGTTTGGGGTTTAGGAGCATTTTTTACACCATTTTGTGATCTTTGTTTACGTCTTCATCTCGACTCGAAAATTAATATTATTGATGATATACACAAATGGTGGTTTGATAATACATGTGAATCACCAATATTACCTTCATGAACAAACAAAAAATATCATTCCAATTTATTTATGTATTTTTTTGCCGCTCAGATTGATTTTCTTGTTTTTTTATCCTGTGAATTATTTTATTCGATATTACTGTGTTTGTTTTACACTATTGTTGATTTATATTGAAATAAAAAAACGAAATTTATCTGTCATTTTATTATATACTGCTATGTGCCACTTGTGATAATATTTAATATCAATAAATTGTATTTCCTATCGTTTATTTGTTTCATCTTTTCTTTTCTGTTAAAGTTTGTAGTAGTCGCACACTTTTAAACTGTGAAGTAAATGATTTATATGGCATTTTACAAGTGTTCTATAAGTGCGATAAGTATTTTATGATGTGTTTCTTTCGATGATGAAGCACACAATACTACTAATGTTTTACAAGCAGTAAATTCATACTCATACGTCCTAGAATAATATTTGTTTTCTTAGTAATATTTTGATGAAATTTAGATAAATATCAAACTCATCAATAACTTAAATAATGATCAAGCATTAAATATAGAGTTCTAAACAAATAAGACATGCTAAAGCATTGTTCTTATGTACTTGTAATGTAAATGCAAATATTTGATAATGTCTGCTCAACTGTTGGATCAATTTGATTGTTGAGAAAGTAAACGGATTACTATCTTTGCGTAAAGAATCGTTGATTGCATCTGAATAAATAAATGAAGTAATACAATTCAAGAGAAGATGATATTTATATTTGTTTTTGAATAAATCTTTGTCGTTGAGAATAAAGAGAATTTCGTTTTGTCAAAATATCTAAAAGTTAACTGTACATAATAATCACAACTATTTATTCAGTTGTTATGATGAATGCTTCTTGTATCAGAATCTTTTTGTGAGACATGAATCAAATATGAATATTGAAGTGTTAGGGTTGGTTAATATTAAGAAATGACTATAAATTTGTATCACAGATCGTGAGAGATGTGAATTATAACGACTATAGATCGTGAGAGACGCTATTAATTCTCATTACTTGAAGTTACAGCAACTATTTCGTGTTTCACATTTTAATTCCCGAGGGATCACGCTAATAGTTTTTTTTCTGATATTGTTATAATATATACTTGTGGTTTTGAATAAAAATCCTGCCATATTTTATATTTGTTTAGTTTTAAGAAAGTGATTACAAATTGAGAAAAGCTAGTTAGAATGTTCGTAACTACAGAGAATAAAACTTATTTACATTAATCTCTAATCTGACTACGCCTTGTTTTATTCGTAAACGTTTTTCGTAAGATTTACATATAAAAGCATCAATACAATTTTGTATCAACATTAATTTATCAAAACTCGATACATATCTAGGATTTTGGAAGGGAGGGTCAATTCCTGAATAGAGGTGGAGGGGGGAGACAATTTCGGTTAAAAACTATTTTTGAGTTCAATCGAAGTAGTGTGAACCTTTTATTTCATCCATTTCTGCTATAACAAATCAAACACATTTCGGAGGGGAGAGGGTGACTGCCCCCCCCCCCCCTCTAAATCCGCCATTGATCAATACCATTTCAACTATTATCGTTTCTCTCTCTCTTCTCTCACTATCGAAAAGAGAATTAAATATTGATTTGATAGGTTTAAATAAAGTTAATTGATTATTTTCATTCTTCTTTTTGTCACATGAACATAGATGATTTACTATCTGTGTGTCTGTTTGCATGCGATGCAATATTGATTTTATTTTTTAAAGAATTTCATATAATAGGAAAAGACATTTATAAACCTAACGTTTTCTACCAAAACGTAAAAATCTAGTATCTCGTCGTGAAAATTGATTCATTTTATTATCAAATAAAATATCTTGTAATTGAAAATCACAAGAAATTAAACAATTATGTCTATTGTATAGTTGTTTTAAATGTATTACATTATTTAATTCTTCATTATTATCAACATTGTTTTCATATGGATATAGTAATTCTTGAGAGTTAATACGATAAGCTAAATAAAATGAAAATATGTTAAACGTGCAGGTCTATATGAAATACGAAAAATCAATAATATACGTCAAATAACCTTACCATAGTTAATTATTGATAGATTTAATATTATCAGGAAGATTATAAGGATATTTGAGAACATATTAAATTCTATATTCTAGAAAAGAAGGATTTATACATTAATCTGCACAACCCTTTTCTTCTGTTAAGTATTTATCAGATGCTTTGTACTCTTTAGAAAAAATTTTCTTTTTATATTAATAAACTGCTTTTTGTGAAAATTTTAATAAAGAAAAGTACTTCGGTATATTTGTTTTGCTGAAGTATGTGTATGTCAATCAAAAATTTACATTTTGATTAATTGGACGAAGAAATTTACACACGCTCTTCATATATGACTTTGACGTAATATTAAATGCGCGGAGGTGAAAGTAACACGTATATGTGACCAACATCTTGAAATCGTTTTTAGGGTGGGTGTGGGTTTCTCTTCTTCTTCAGCCCTCACATCCACAACCACTCATTCAAAATTTTTTTTTGTTATTTCACGAAAACATTCGATAAGCTTTATAGTTAATAAACGACAGCAGTTAAAGTTTTCGTTCAAGTATAACAAGGTCCAGTATCACTTACATTTCAAAAATCACATGCGAAAATAGATGAATTACATTTTACGTACGTACCTATCAGCCGTAAACTACAATTTTCGAAAAAGTAAGGTGGATCGCTTCATCATCCACCTCTCAATCCATCACTGGTTCCTATTTCTAAAAACAGGTAGTCTAAGGATTTACTGAGTTTCAATATCGAAAGAAAATCTATAACGCAAGGGTTAAACTTATACAACACTATTTAATATATCTTCTTAGCTATTTAAAGAGTTGTCTGCTATCTATTTACTATCACTTTATTCTCTTCATTAACCATGGAAATTCTCCAGACTATTAAAATATTTGCTAGCTATTAATCTTCTGATTCATAACTAATTTAATCGGCAGCACTCTTTAAACTTGTCTAACACTCAGTGTTTTATCCAGGGCGGGGGCCGTGGGGCGTCACCCCCTCCCCCAGGATTTTGGTTCGCCTCCCTCGGAAATATGAAATTATTATATTAAAAACAATTAACATTTTCTTTATTTTTTTGTAGAATAATACTTTCACTCTACTCTTTCATCAATCAGTGATGTATAGTTTGTGTTTTCTCAATGAGAAAAGAAGAGAACAGTCAGATATGAATATTATATAACTGTTTGACGATGTACTAAATAGTCTATTATCTATTATTCATCATGAAATTCATGCACAAGAACAAAAAGATGAAAAAAATTCGCTCGTGTTAGGCTAATTGTTCTTTTACGTCGTATATTCCATATCGGTCACATTATTCAACGAATGTCATCAGGACAAAAATCTTTGACTTTCTTAAACGATCAATAAAAAATTTAATTATTGATCGTTGGAAAAGCAAAAAAGTGCGAAGAATTGCGCTTTAGTATAGATTTTTTCTCAAAGTGTTTTTTCTTTGTTTTCATGTTTATTATCATAATGTGTTCATAATAAAAGAAATACTTACTTGTATTGTAAAATTAAATAAAAAGAAGTTTGTTTTTTGTTATATCGTAAAACTTTTTATACAGCAGTCCTTTTGAAAATTACGCTTGCCCCCTCCCTCGGAACATAAAACCTAGATAAAACACTGCTAACACTACTTAAACAATGTTCGTAGTTATTTAAATTGTTGTCGATTGTAATCCAAAATGCATATATCTTGCTGTTTTAGTATAATATGTTACTATTACTTGCCCCAAATGGGTTATTCTCTGAAAGATATTTTTTAATATATCATTCTTTTATAAAACACAGTCTGAGGTTCTCAAGTGATAGTGAGTATATTATTACATGAAAAAATAGATAGAATGTAAATTCTGTATTAATCAAATTTTTGAAAATATAAGAATTATTTAATAGTTAAAAAACGAACATTAATTAGCAAATCAGTACTAGTTGCAGATTTTATTTTGATTGTAAATAAATTACTGGAAGATGATGCATATCAACGAGAATGATATATCTCCCTATTTAATGAGTGATTTTATTTCTATGCTTGACATTCACATATTCTAGTATTACGATATTTGATTTATGAGTCTATTTATGAAATCATTTTATATTTTCTTTCATAATTTAAGAGACTAGTAAATATTATTCAATTAATCGATGATGTCAATATCAATCATGCTAAATTATGACGAGTTCTGTTCTCTAGTGTGTGTCGTATAAGAATGAGTTTGTGCATTGATCAATAGGCAAACTAACAATAGTACGAAGAACAATACATTGTTCATTGTATGAATTATTGGTCATCTTATAAATTCGTTTGTCTAGCATTTAAAGCACAGTTTATCACTTGAAATAAATCGAGTATTACAATTGCGATTTCTTTACTTCGAAGAAAAAACAAAATAATAAACTAACAGAAATTATATGTCATTGTAAAATATGAAATGAAAAGTATTGAATAGATATTATAAAATAAAGATGTTGATAAACTAATTGCATTAATCTCATCATCAAGATCATTATTTGGATTTATTGGTGCATCATCTATATCATTATCATTATATAATTTATGAGGTAATTCATTTGCCTTGTTGAATACCTTCCATTTATCATTAGGTATATCGTTAAAAGCAACTTGAAAACGATTATCATCATTTTTACCACCTTCAACATGACGTATAAAAATCATTTTAATTCTATCAGGATATTTTCGTGTAATTTCTCCATAAATCTAAATAATATTCTATATACAGAAATTTATAAATTCTAATTTCTTACTTCCGGATCAAGTTCACCTGAATCACCAACCATAGTAAATTGTTGCGTTATAGGAGCATGATCAAGAATATCTTGTATGACACGTAATTTATGTTTTTGAGATGCATCTTGTTTCGCAAAATCAAGTATTTTTTTTATCAAATCATATTTATCCGGACCAACTAATTTTAAATGACGCATATCTATATAAGAACAAAATTATTTCGAATTTAATATATAACATCTTATCATTGACATACGAAATGAACCACCGGGAAATTTTTCTTTATTAAGAAATTTTTGAGTTATATAGTATAATTGAGATGGCATTGCACTAACATAATGTATTAAACATTTATGAGACGATTGCCATGATTGATATACATCAGACATACCTTAAATATACAAGTAACGCTTGTCCGAGAACTCTCTTAGCTCTTTCTCGTAGAAATGTATCCTCTTCACATTTACTGGAAAATAGGTTTTCGATGTTTTTTTGACCCTGCGGACATACAAGCAAGCAATCAGACAATTTATGTTTACTGGACCCTTCTCTACAAGAAAGAGAATATTTGAATTATTTCAATAATAATTAAAGAGAGAAGAAGTGAAGATCCTTTTATATTGAAAACTATCTATGTTTTTATTAATTCCTGCCCTTTTGAAAACGCTGAATGATCCGATCAGATGTAACGGAATTACGTCTATTTATGTTCAAGAAGATATTCAAGTTCATGCATCTATGAACACAGAAAATACTTTGAATTCAAAATACGATAGAAAAGCCTAGAATGATACTACTATCATGTTCTGTCTGGATCTTAATTCGTCATTCAAATCCGATAATAGACAAGAAGATTTCTTTTGGATAAGTTATATATGATTTATACCTGGTACTGCTTTAAAATCTTTTTTAAATGTATTAATTGCTAATTTTTTTTTATCTGGTACTTCAGATATTTTAATTGTGTCATCAATATCAGAAATAATTGAACATCCAATTTTACTTTTCTTGTTCATTAAATAAATAAAACCTTCATTGCCTTGTTCATGATAATCATCATCTGAAGCAATATATTTTAATACATTTCCTTTTATAGTTAATTCATCAGATAGTTTAATAATAATCTTTTCATGAAATCGACCATTATCATCTGTTGTTACAATTTGAGAAACTGAATTACTTAGTCTAATTTGTATTTTGTGTTGTTTAATATCACGAACAAAAAATGGTCCTAAACGTTCTTCTCTTTCTTGTTTACTTAATGCTGTACTACTATCAAAAAGATCAAGTGCTGTGTGCAAACTAAGTTGAATTATATTCTGTAGTAAACCTAAACTTTAAATTTTAACTTTGAGTTTTTATCATAACAAAATCTACTTGGATTTAATGGTTCATAGTACCATCCATTTACTATGACAGTAAACATATCAGATTCATTATTACTTTCATAACCAATACTTGGAATAAGCATAAATTTATCTAGAGATTTTCCATTACTTTTAAGAGTATTATTATCAATTGTAAATGGATGATGATCTTTAAATTGATGTTTGACTGTAATGCTATCAACAACAAATATAATGACAACTAAACAGAACATAAAATACATTTTTATTTTATTTGAATAATTCGTGAAAAAAATTCCAAGAAAAAAAAATGAATAAAATTGTCTTAGTAACGAATAAAAACAGATCAGTATGATTTTCGATAATAATGTAGAATACAATTTAATTATAAAAATTCTTTCTTTACAATCTCGCGTAGTATATCACGTCGTGTTATCAAAGATCTTTGTAAAGTTGTAATGGCTTTTTAGCAAACTTTTAATTCATGTACAATGAGAAAATAGTTTTAATCCAAAACACCCTACTGACTGAAACAATTTCGGTATAAGTTGATTTAATGTAGAAATCTACATCTGTGGTATCTCATGATGAATGGAAACAATTTCAGTTAGGTTCTCCTCGAGATATGATTAAATAGAGTGCAATTTCAGAAAGAAAAACGTTCTCTAATTATAAACTATGGTATTGTACTTGTGAAAGTGTATGTCAATAGTGTACTACTGACATCTGTTATTGTATGTCCTTGAGTGGATGGGATATAGTAACCTATCATTGAATTCAAAACAGTTCTGCATGATTCTACATATATGGATTAGACAGTTTTAATAATTCAAATGTCTCCTTGTTTATCTCTTTATACTTGTTGGCTTCCGCGAACAACTATCATCCATCGAGTTTTTCTTCGTTCATCGTTTTCCACAGTATCGCCAACGAATACGTCATCTCCGCATGGATCAGCGTCAGCTGCTCGTTTTTCTCTTAAAGTTGCGCGATTTCTTTTCTCAAAAGATGGTCTAAGACAATCTGCGCCTCTATCAACTCATGCTCATTCGACAAAATTAGAAACTCCCGGTGATATTCATGAATTAGCACGTGATTTTGTTCTTTCACTCGAACCAGGTTAATTAAAAAACTAAATCTATCGAAACATATATATGTTCATATATTTCCAGACCATCGACGAATACTCACAAATGAATTAGCCGAAGTTGAAAAAGTATCCACAGCAACAGGCACTAATGCAATTCCAATTCTTACTTCCCAATTAGCTATCGGTAAGAAAAGATTTTCTTTAGTTATTTTCAAATTGTTTGTTCAGTTTTTCTTGAAACTGGACTTCCATTTATTGGTTTTGGTTTTGTTGATAATTTTGTTATGATTGTGGCTGTGAGTAAATAGTTCTGTTTTATCGAAAATATTTCGTTTTATTTAGGGTGAAACTATTGAAACATTCTTAGGTGCTGCTTTCTGTATTTCTACAATGGCAGGTATTAAAAATAATATTATACATAAAATACATATATAATAAGATTTAACCTAGCTGCTGCTTTGGGAAATGCTGTTAGTGATGTTATGGGTATTGGGTACGTGAATTATTAAACAAAAAAAGTTTTTTTTATTCTGAAAACAATATTACTTAATTTCTATATTCTATATGTAGTCTTGCTGATCGTATTGAACGAACATGTGGACGATTTTTAGGTGCATTTGGAATAAACCCACCTAAATTAACTCCTAGTCAATGGGCACAACGACAAGTACGAATAACCCAATTATTGGTAAGATTTATTTTCATAAAATTTATTCTCTATATCACTCACTGTTTTATATCTATAGTCCAAAACCATCTGTATATTTGTTGGTAAGTGTAATTATAATATATCTTTTTTTTGTGATATTATTTTTCTTTTGTTTTTTCTCTATATAGGTTGCATATTAGGAATGTGTCCATTACTCTTTCGTGATACATCCGCACACAAAACTGCATCACATGACAAAAACAGTGAATAGATCGTTAATATTATGCATAATCACGTTCAGGAATTATACTATTCTTGACTTCCTTTTTTTTGTAGTACAATGTGATTAGCTATATTTTTGTCTTAGTATATATTTTATTTATTAAAATAAACGCATCTATTTGTATAGTAGTTTATAACTATATTTTGTCTTTAGATGAATCTTTTTCGTACTATTTATTCAACGATTCGTTTGAATCAATCTGTAATACTTCCTTTTGTTCGTCAAATACATTTAGAATCAACACCAGAACGATTACCGGCATGGGAACAACCTAAAGGTGAATCTACTGAAATTAAACGTCGTCGTCTTCTCTATCAGAGTCGAAAACGTGGTATGCTTGAAAATTGTCTTTTACTCAGTAATTTTGCATCAACTTATTTACCAACAATGAATGCAATTGATCTTGATTTGTACGATAAATTAATTAATACACCATCCAATGATTGGGATTTGTATTATATGGCTATAGGAAAATTAGAAACACCTGACGAATATCAACATCACGTTATGGATTTACTAAAAAAATATGCTAAAAATGAACAGAAAGAAGAACGTACTCAACAACCAGATTTAATACCAGTTTAAAAGCATTACCCACTTGTTTTGAAATTATGTATTAACTATTTTTTAACATTTTTTCTATTTCTATCGAAATGAAATATAAACTATTTGTTTCGTAGTACTTCACGAGTTTTTTTTTCTATTGTAAATCAGGCAATCATAAAAATAAACATGTATTATTTACTAAATCAATACTCGTCTGTAATGGGAAGATTATATTATTGAACAACCATTAAACTGATGAGAAAAGAGACAAAATATTAGAAAAATACTACAGAACTATTTAAATAACATGTTTACAGGTACATGGTTAAACAGATTTTGAAGTATAGCAGTATAAAGGTATATACACACCAAGAAAAGAGTAGTATACATCTGTTTCTTCCCTCAAGTGGCTGTGGCTGCTGGTAATACCTTAGAAATATATAGCATGCAACGGTAGATTTAGAGGAAGGAGTGCTATTGCATCGTGTTTCAATTTTTTTTTCAATTGTTCCCGATGACAATGCGGTTTTTGATCGAAGTCGCCTCCCATCATAAAAATCTTAGATCCGCCACTGAATAACATGAGTAGATGCCTGATTTCTTCTCAATCTATACGAGATTCGATCAATTTTCAAAATTTTTGAGAAATAAAAATTTGAAATAATTTTTAGCATGCGAGTTTCAAGATTTTGTATGAGTTTAAGATTTGTCACTTTATATAGATTATTTTATATACAAGAATAATTTTCATTGGATAATACGAAAATCAGTAATATATCGATGTCAATAGATAAGAAGAATGAATATATTGATTTTTTAGATAAATGGATGATAATACAGAATTGATTGATGTTGTTATTATTGGCGCAGGATTTACTGGTCTTTCAGCTGCAAAATATTTCTCTTCGAAATCTATAAAAACTCTCGTTATAGAAGGTCGATCACGTGTTGGTGGAAGAACATTAAGTCATAAAATAACTGATCAACAATGGATTATTGATTTAGGTGGACAATGGATTGGACCAGATCAACATCGAATATTATCATTTATAAAAGAATATAATCTTGAATTAATTGAACAAACATGGCATCATCATCAACCAAATTTTTTAGGTGAAAATCTTGGTTTAATACCATTAAATAATAAACAAATTGAAAATATTATTGAAATTAATTCTCAATGGGATCATATGGCTTTAGAATTATCATCTGTTGAATGTGCTTTAGAATATCATAAATCATCTCAATGGTCAATTATTTCTGTTCAACAATTTATTGAAGAACATCCATTAGCAAATCAAGATTTAAGAATTCAACAAGAATTAAAACTTCAAATATTAACATTAACAGCATGTCATCCCGATAAACTATCATTATTATATTGGTTAATATTAATTCGTTCAATTCCGCGAGGTTTAACAGCACTTGATGATGGTATTAATGGTGCACAACATTATAAAATATCTTATGGTAGTCAAAATGTTTGTTTTGAAATGAGTAAAAATGAAAATATTCGTTTAAATGATCCAGTTGAATCTATTAATTATGAATCACAGGATAATATATTAATTAAAATGTTATCTGGTTATAAAATAAAATGTCGTCGTCTTCTTTTTGCATTTTCTCCAACATTATTATCAACAATTAATTTTCTTCCATCATTATCATTAACAAATAATTGTCCAATGATCATGGGACAATGTATTAAAACTGTATTTATTTATTCGAAACCATTTTGGAGAAATATTTCAATTAATCAAACAGATCAACAAGGACCGTGTTCAAATATATTTGAATCAAATAATCCACATGCACTTATTGGATTAATATTAGGTGATGATGCAATATTTTGGAGTAATAAGAATGAAGATGAATTAATTCAAGCAATTATAAAACAATATGAAATACTTTATAATATGAATGAAATACCAATGAATACATTTGTTCAATATTGGACGAAAGAAAATTTTAGTAAAGGTTGTTATGCTGCTGTTTATCCGCCTAGTTCATCTTCAACATGGATAGATAGAAGAAAAGCTTTAGTTGATAAAAGAATTTGGTTAGCAAGTACAGAAATGGCTTTAGAATGGGTGGGTTATATAGAAGGTGCGATTGAAGCTGGACAAAGATTTGCACAAGAGATTTCGAATTCATTTTAATAAGAATTTTTATTCTGACGATGTCTTTCATAAATAAATCATAATAGAAGAAGATATTCAACAAGGTTCCTTAAGCTAATGATTTATCATAACACAAACAATTATATTTTCATTGATCGGCTTGAATTCACCGAATATCTTAATATTTTGTCGTATGAAGAAAGTTTCTGTCATCACGTTCTCGATGCAGCTGAAACATGTATGACATGATACGAACAACAATATACAGTATATAGTATTATTTTTATAGGAGAAAAACAAACCTGATATCAGTTATCTACAAAAAAAAAACAGTTTCAAAAAAAGTTAACAGATATATTTAAATGTCAATTCTTCTTCATACTTTTATCAAGTATAGTTCTCTGAAAAAACATACATTTCATCGATACGTTTTACTGATTATTCTTTCTAAACTTTCCGGAATTTATCAAGTGGAATAAAACGAGATTTTATTTACTTCAAAAACATTTTATATTATGAACTAGGATAGAATTTAGTAATAGATTGATATTGATGATAAATCTCTGTTCATCAGAGTATTTCAATTGTAAAGGAGATAAAATCAAAACTCAATAATAAATTCCGATATCTTGATCTTTAAACCATTCATATGAAGTTAGTTCTGTTTGATACTCGACGAAAATTCAGAACATTGTCATTTAGTAATGGAATTAGCAAAATAACTATAGATGTCGTTAGTCGATTATCGATATATGAATAATAATTATAAAAACTAAATAAGGATTTATTTTTCAAATATCGTATAATCATTTTTATAAAAATAAAAACATTTTTTTACTGTTTATTATTGAGGATAGATATTCTTATATGAATGGTCTTTTTGTAGAACAAATCATTTACGATGAAAGAAAAACCAATGTTTTAGTATTGTGGTTTATCGAAAATTGATGAATTAGAATAGAAATTCTTTTTTATATTTAAGATTGTTGATAAATTTTATTTAAATAATGGTAAGTCTCAATGAAAAACGATCGAAAATTCGATATGTTATACAAAACAAAACTGAATGGGTTGAAGGTAAGATAAAATAATTTTTTGATATATACTTATTTAAAAATACAATTTAGATGACAATAAATTTGGTAAAAAAATGTTAGAAAAAATGGGTTGGACATCAGGTGTTGGATTAGGAAAAAATGAAAATGGAAGAACAGAACATATTGATATGAAATTTAAATCGAATATGAAAGGAGTTGGTTTTGTTAATGGAAAATATGATGACACATGGATTGCACATTCACAATCATTTGATTCTGTTCTTGAACAACTTCAACAATCTCATCCTACATCATCTCCATCCTCAATTCATAACTTTGCTCAAACTGTTCAACAAACAAATACAAGATTTAAGTAAGTTTGTTTTATATTCACAAATAAAAGAATTTCGTTGTGTTGCTTTTTAGTTATAAAAAACAATCAAGCGGAAAAGATTTAAGTTCCAGATCAAATCATGAGCTTGATTGTATTTTTGGGCGCAATAAAAAAAATATTAAAACTAATCCTACTGATAATGAAACAAAACAACAATCTGATAATGACGATGACGATGAAAAAGTTTGAAATATTTCTTTTCATTTTACTTTTTATTTTATTTTTTTATTTCAAAGAAAAACGAAAAATTATCAGAGAATCTTTATGTAACAAGTAAACAATCCATAACAGATTATTTCAAAGATAAATCAAAGAAAAAAGCTTTAAAGATACATCAACAATCAGCAATAATAAATGATGATCAAACTTATCCAGGTAATGATAAAATATATTTTTCAGTTAAATAATGTTTGAAAATTGAGAGTATATAACAGAATTGATTTTGCGGAAGACTGACAGTATTTTAAGGGGAAACAGCGAACTTCAAGAGACATCGTTCATGAAGCTTCTGCCTTGTGATTTGAGTTTTCTTACCTTTATCAATTCTTCATTATATGATATTTTAAATTGAAATAATATTCTTCTTTTAGTGGATGAAATTGTGCCTCGTGAGCAAGTTACATCAGACGATCCATTGACTGATACGGATAACTCAATCAAAAAGAAGAAAAAGAAGAAACGCGACGAAGAGACAGGTTAATTTCTTTGTTTAAAAGAAATAGGAACAAATGATTTATTTATTTCAGTTGATGAAATTGTGCCTTCTGAACAAGTTACATCAGACGAGCCACTGATTGATACGGAGAACTCAATGAAAAAGAAGAAAAAAAAGAAACGAGATGAAGAGACAGGTTAATTAATTAATTTTTTGCTTAAACGAAATATCAACAAATAATTTATTAGATGAACCAGTGACTCAGGTGGAAGAAAATGAAAAAGTTAAAAAACAGAAGAAAGATATTGAAAACCCTTATAATGATTCGAATTTATTGGACATGGAAGGATATAAAGGATGGAATATTGATTCATCAATTGAAGATATTATTAAAAAAAAAGAAAAACAAAAGAATCGAAAAAAATAAATTTATTCTTATTTTTATGAATTGTGTTTTGTTTTGTTATGGAATAAAAAAGAAGAAAAAGAAAAATGACTTAATTGTTATACTAGCTAAAAGATAAAATTAATGCAAGAGGGTAAGTGCTGGCACCCTATCTGCTCTTTTCGCCTTGTATTCAGAATTAAAATAAAATATGTTTTTATTAACAGAATATTAATTGTGCCACATTTTCTTTTCTTGTAGCAATTGTTTTAAAAATCTAGCTGATGGATTATGTGAATGTATCATTGTTGTTTCTTTGAAACAAATAGGATTCGGTTGAAATATTTCGGATGGAATGGGTCCATCTTTTGCATCGAAATAGACAGTTCGTTCATTACTTGATAGTCGACTAAGTATAGATGGATAACATCCTGATGAAGTCGATTCAAACAAGAAATCTCCATTTTGCCATTGATTACATAATCGAGACGAGCCACTTGAACATGATTTATTAGCAATTAGAAACTGTTCAGTTTGATTATATGTATTTCCGTAACACCAATCATTCCAATAATTTAATCCAAAGAGATGACAAGTTTGGTTATTAACGTTAAAATAATACTGTTTGCCCGAGGTGAAATTCATCCACATGTTGTATGTGACATTCTTTATCGATACTGTGAAACGCATTTGCTTAGACGGTTGATCGTAATAGATTTCACCTGAGCTAGTGTAGCTAATGTCCGGTATTAGATGTACGAATTTTGTTTGAAAACTTGGAGGTGTACAACAATCATGCGAGTCATTCTGTTGTTTGATTGCATGGTCTTCCAGAGCGATTGATTGGATGCTGCTTGACAAACTTTCTGTTAATTGAATATCAGAACATTGATGAAATGTTGTCCCATAATCTTCTTCATCAGGATTATTTGTTAGATAACGTACTCTCAAAACACAATAATCACATGACTGTTTCGGTAATTGAACTTCTATTGAAAAATTTGTTTGTGTATTATGATTCATTGGATTGTAGTCATTAAAAGAGACTAACGTTTGAAAATCCTCTTCTAGAGGATCAAGTCCTCTAGCAAATGAAACGTCAAGTTTACCAGGATTTGGTGGATAATAATGATTTATATGTTGTTGAAATAAAACAGTATATAATGTACCCGCTTCGAGAACGGTTCGTTGTTGTGATGTTGATGAATTGTATCCACCGCAAGGTGCCATTTTTCGATAACAGGTATGTGAACCCGGAGGATCGAGACTGAAATTTCCACGTTGCATTGGTTGCCATAAGCACAAATGACCGAATGTTGATGACACACAAGTCAAAGCTAGTACAATGAAAATAGTATTAGATACCATTGCTTGCATTCAAAGAGAAGACAATTAAAGGTAAATGCACGAAGATAAATCTTAACTGAAACAATGACAAAGAAAAAAAATGTATGTCATGACGCTGAAGAGAAAATATGCTTGTCATCCGATATCATAAAATATGATAAGATATGATAAGGTGTTGCTAAAGAACTTACACAAAATATTTTAGAATTCTATGATGCAATAAAACATAGGAGAATCAAGAGTTGTATATAAATGTACGCATTTCTGGAAAGCGTCTCCAGTGAATTCTTAGACTCGGAACTGATGCGGATGTGTGTGTGGGTAGGTGTGGGTGACTGCGGTGTGTGTAAAGACATCGTATTGACCTAGCACCTACATTCACATCCACGCCACCCTTACCCTCACCCAGCTTACATCCGCACACTCACCCTCACGACAAGATTGAAAGCTCAGGAAACGGCACAACACAGTTGCTCAAGTGAAGTTTGTTCATTAAGAAATATTGTGAACAGATTGTTGACTGATATCTTATATTAAAAATAAATGTTGATTGAAAAAGAACTGTAAAAGCCTTGATTCTTATCTGGAGCATATCGATGACAGTTTTGTTCTCGTCATATATTTGATGTTCACATGATATAAAAACTGATAGATTTACCGTTGCTGTGTGTAACTAAATGAAGTAAATTAAATTTATGTATAAAATCAAAAATTGTTATATTTTTTTTTATACATGATTTAAATACTTCAAGAATAAATATATATTCATATTGAATTTCGATCTTCTTTTTTTCATCTTGTATCAAGAGAAACAAGTAATGCGACAACAGAGAAAATAAAAACTTTGTGTTCTAATTCTGACAAACTTCATTGTCTTGATTGTTTCAATGAGAAACGTCATTCAATGCAATAAATGTTTCTTGAGACCATGGCTAAGAGAAGAACAAAACACCCAAACCCACCCTTCTTGCATATCTTGAGTTTAGAGTTGAATTTATGCATATTTTTCGTGTCTCTTAGAAAAATACATCGTAGTGCGATGAACAAGTCTGCTTTTTATATATCTGGTGAGTTTCTATTCGAAAACAAATCGATATACTTATAGAAGGAAATTTTTCTCAACAATACTTATTTCATAGAGAAACAAAAAAGTTTGTTAAAAATCAATCCTGACAAAGCAAATTATTTGACAGATTCAAATAAAAATATATTAAACTAATCATGATGTATTCATTGACGTCAGTCATTTATTGACGATAATTTTTAATATCGTATTTTCATTAAAAATACGCCTGACGGTTGACATCGATATTGATCAATTCTTTTTTCTCTTCATCAGGTTCTTCTTCACCAAAATCATAGATTTTTCTATAAAATTAAAAAAAAGAAAAGGGTCATTTCGAGTTTAAATTTCATTCTATGCTTTAGAAAACAATGAAATTTAATGAAAAATACAAAAGTAAATCATAAATTTTGTTCATTAATCCAATCTAAAACCAACTTTTTATCTTACCTACGATGATACCTTCTCTAGAACACTATTTTTTCTCTTTGTGTTATCTTGGAAGAAATAAATCAGAGAAAAGTGAGAGAGATATAACTAGAGAGAAAATCTACAAGGACTGTCATTTTGTTTTCATCGAAGACAAAGAAGGAGAAGAAGATTATTTTATTAGTTAACGAATTTATTAAAAAACAATTTTGATAAATAATGTGGCATGTCTACATATTTATCATCATTCTTCTGTTCATTCTCAACAATGAAACATCAGGTATATACTTTTATTTATTACATATTAAACTAAATTATTGTCTGACACGAAAAGTTAAAGAAAGTTGATTCGTTCAGTATAAGATTTCTTACATAAGTTCTTCGAATGGTTATTTAATTAAAGATTAGCAAGAGAATTTTCTCCTCTCTTTCACATATTAGATTCAATTCAAATGATTGAATATCAATAAATTCACAATGTTTTCCATACAAAAATGAGAATTGATTTTGAATTTCAAAGGTATTTTGTTTAAATATCAATCAGTTTTCAGGAAGCCATTTTCTTTCAAAACAATTCTGTTTTTCCCCTTCGAATTCATTTTCATCAGACAAAGAAAAAACATTATTTGATTATTGTTTTTTTTGAAACGAAAATCAAATCTTTTCAAGGATCGAACATATTTCTTTATCCTTCACAACAAAAGAATCCATAAAAGACGTTGATCTTCTTCGATAAACTCATCCCTCTCTTAATTGATATCCACACTTGACTTGAGAAAATAGAACAACAATCATAGAAATTTTTCCAAAATTAACCTCAACGAATTTTTCGAAAATAAACATAAATTAATAGTTTCATCTCCTTTATTGTTCCTCTCTAGTGTTCTTTATAATTTTCTCGTTTTCAGCTCTTTCATTCAATCAACCAACGTTTTGTTCAACAGCTACTTGGAATTCCAATGGAATTACTTTTGCTAATCGATCTATTGTAGGCCAAGATCCTAGCGCTATTTTTGTGAACGCAAACAACACAATCTATGTAGCTAATCAAGAAAACAAAACAATTCTAATTTGGCACGAAGAGAGTGTCAATCCAATAAACATCATTCATGGTAGTTTTACATGGCCTAATTCTCTCTTCGTGTTATCGAATGGTGATATTTATATTGATGATGGTGCTATAAATCGTCGAGTGCAGAAATGGATAGCGGAAACAAATAACTTTGTCACGGTGATGATTGTCAACTCATCATGTTGGGGTTTGTTTATTGATATCAATGATACTATTTATTGTTCAATGTCTGATCGTTATCAAGTAGTGAAAAGATCATTAATTAATTCTATGATGACTTCAAATCATGTTGCTGCTGGAACAGGTATTCAAGGATCAGACTCAAATCAACTCGGAAGTCCTCGTGGAATCTTTATCGATGTAAATCTGGATTTATATGTGGCAGATTTCAGAAACAATCGAGTTCAATTGTTCCAGTCGGGAGAACCAAATGGTATCACAGTGGCTGGAAGTGGATCACTAAATCCAACAATTACACTTAATCGTCCAAATGGAATTGTATTAGATGCTGAGAAATATTTGTTCATTGTGGATCTAGGCAATAGTCGCATTGTTGGCTCAAGCTTGAATGGCTTTCGATGTTTAGTTGGATGTTATGGAGAGGGTCCAAAATCCAATCAACTGATTATTCCAATTAGTTTGAGTTTTGATCGTTCTGGAAATATGTTTATTACTGATCAAGGAAATGATCGAGTTCAAAAATTTTTATTGATGAACGATTCTTTTGGTAAGTTGAGGAAAGCTGAATGCGATGAAAAGATATATATATATATATAGATAGATAGATCAGTAACAGAAGCAACTGAAGACTTTTCAATAGAAAAAAAACGAAAGAAAACAAAAATAGTTGAGAAAGATTAATTAAATCAATGTGTAAAAGAATGTGTTTATGGAAATGAAACGTTTAGAGTAGACAGAGCAATGTGCAAGGGGGTAAGGGCTGGCACCCAGCACTCAGCACCTCAACACCTGCTCAGCACCTCAGCACCTGCCCAGCACCTTTTCAGCACCTCGGCACCTATTGAGCACCTGAGCACCTATTGAGCACCTTTTCAGCACCTGCCGGTGCTGTGAAGCTTAGAGAGCTGTAGGATGAATATTAATTGAAGTAATGCTTAGAACTAGAGTTATAATATTACAAATTCATCTTCTGCTGCAGACGAATACTGCTCAATATTATATTACTTTAACAATATTATTTCGACATTGTTTTGACTTGAAACTAAGTTCAGTAATATGTAAATAATTTATAAAAAGCCTATTTATTCTCAATGATACCGAAGAAAGTTTCCATCTCATACAAGTACCATATGAAAATATAAAAATTTCATAAAAGTGAATATCAAAAATACTTCATAACATAAACAACTATATGAAGAAAAATATGAAAAATTATATGAAAAACAACAACACGAAAGGCTGCATCAACAAAAATATGAAAAATCAAATGTAAACAATTGCAAATAGGACTTATATTATTTTACTCCTTATTGCTGAACACGTAGTAATCGATCACTTGAAGATCGTTGTTTATCTGTTGTAAGTAACCAACAAGCCGTTTGTTTGTGTATAAATTTATATGATGAACCCATACGTATACGAAAATATTTCTTTGATTGTTGTGGATTGATTTTGTCGTATATACGACAACCATTGAACTTTTTTGTGCTGTATCAGGAACATCAGTTGCTATTGTATTTCCTTTCTCTTCATCATCGGTATTGTTTGGTGATAATTGTTCTTCATTATTTAATACATTGAAAACATCATTTTCATCAGAACAATTTTCTTGATCAGAATCTTCATCGGAACTATTATTATCAACTGTATAGTCGATAATCTTTGATAATGATTTATTTAAAATTGTTTTTGTAACTGTATTTAAACCTGATAATGTCTAGGTTTTTTTTCCAAAAAATGAGTCATATTAACCATTGCAACATACTTTTGAGCTGCTTCAAATGCATTTTTGATAATAACTTTAATATCATTTCCAGTCAAATTCAATTCATTAACATGTCCTATTGAATAATTAATCGTATCTTTATGATTTTTATGATGTTGTGGAAAATAAAACTGATAATTTCTTATGTGCCCACCACGATTTTTAATTGAATTGACTATTGATATTTTTTCGCATCCTTTTAAAAATGATTCTACACTAAAAGTTGTATTTGACGAAAATGAACCTGATAATGAGCGTGCAAATCGAAAAGTATTCTCACATATCTTGAGGGTGAGGGTGTGGGTGTTGTATTCTTCCTTATTCACCACCCACCCACACCCACACCCACACCCATTTTTTTGGCACATTTGACCATTTTTTCGGCACAAATGAACAATTTTTGGGCGCAAATAACCATGTAACTAAGGCATATTTTATATAATATAATTTTTCTTTGCTATTATCGTTTTATTTGAATAGTATAATATTTAGTTTATTTGTTAGAAAGAGCGCAAACTTAAATGTTTAATTTATTCGTTAAAAAGGGCGCTAACTCAAATATTTGAATAGCAAAATATTTAATATAAAATATTTAATTTATTTGTTAAAAAAGGCGCGGGCTTAAATATTTAAAATATTTCTTAATTATATATACATCATTATTATATTGAATAAATTAAAATAATGTGGCAACGCTATTTTACTTTGAATATGGATAGAGATGAAAATAATATTAATAACAAAAAAACAAAATGTTCTTATACACAGAGTATTATAAAGCTTTGAAAAAAATGTTCGCCTATTTTTATATAGCATCTCATTCATTATCATTGATAAATATTTCTAATGCATGTTTGAAAAAAACAATGATGCGTCGAAACGTCCTGTACGACAACTCAATAAAATAAGATCCAGGATTAGAAGCTAAAAAACATACGCATTACAGTTTGATAGTTTTAAAAATTTAGTTGTTGCATTATCGCAAAACATTTTTAATCAGCTTGCCAGTTTAATAGTCTTGCTATAGTGCATATAGATAAAAGAGTTCCAAATCAGTTTTGATATATAATGATAAAGAAATCAGCACTTTAGTATTTTTTTGAAATCCTACTTTTTATAAAATTGAATATAATAAAGCTAAAGCATTTTTGAAGTTTATTCTGCATTCTACAAGTATGAAAATTTGAGAAAATGCTTGATTTTATATAAGCCAGAAATTCAATTTGATTTTCTGCCGAAAGTCAAAACTAATTTTGATTAACTATCATTCGTATCTAAATATAGTTATATCAGCATGCAGACCGCGGCAGTCTAGGGCCAAGTGAATCGAGTTTCGATGAACGCTACTTGTAATTATAAAACTGATCATTATTATAATGAAAAATATCATTTAGTAAACCATAATTATTATTTTCTGTAGTAAATGTTGATGACGACATTAGCTAAACTAATTATCTGAAATAAACGATATTTAACGAAACTTCCTTTTTAATATCAGAAAGTAGTGTAAAAAGAATTAAATTAAACGGGAAAATATTATAAAATGGGTATTTTTCTCATTGAGTACTTATAAAAATTTCTTTATTATTAACGTATATTAATGAGTCCGATAGAGAACGCTCTTAATCAGTCACAATACAGTCGTTTGTTTTATATATTATATTACAAAATCAATTAATATCTCAGCACTTCAGCACCTATCCAGCACCTACTCAGCATTTCAGCACTTGCTCAGCACCTCGGCACCTGTTCAACACCTCAGCACCTTTTCAGCACCTGAGCACCTGTTAGGTGTTTTTCGGTGCTGGGTGCCAGCTATTACCCCCTTGGCAATGTGACAATCGTCTAAGGTAAACAATGTTTGCCTCTTCGTTTAGATTAAAGAATAGAGAACGAAAAAGTTCTGTCCTTAATGGAGTGGTAGAAAGGACTCTCATGTTTCATTTCATGTCTCAAAGAGTATTTCATCAATGAAACAGTTTTTATCGAAATAAAATTTCTTCATATCTTTGTCAATATAATTTTACTATAAATTATTCTATGATTTAACTTCATATTTCTTATTTCGATATGTTTTATTCAAAAAAAAATAGGATAAATAGAAAAATCAGAATTCTGACAGGTACTTTTTCTTCTTTTATTGTGCAAAATGCATGTAGTCATTGTTTCTCTTTGCGAGAGATAAACTTCAATATCAACCATTATAAGATGAATTTTCTTGTAAAGAAATGTTTGATTGATGATTTATTCTTTAAATAGTTATCATAATATTTAATTGCAGAGAATCATATTGAATAGTTGAAGGCAATCTATAATGTGATATGTGTAATTGTTAATGAGAAATATATGTTATTATTTTTTATATAAACTGTAACCAAAGAATATTTTCTACGAAACAAAAAAAGCTATTTATTCGATAAAATAGATCAAAATCTAATGATTCAATTTTGAATAAAAAGATTTATTTGTCTAATCAAATTCATTATTTGAGATGATTAATAAGAAAAATTGGTTTTCAATCAAATCTATTCTAGATTGTTCTTAAATGACAACTTTACATAAGTCAATTAACAAAGTTTTGTTTAAATTTCTAAAATTCAATGAAAAAAGCTTTTCTGATTCATAAAAGATTTGTTGGTTTTATCAATATTTATTTGACTTTTTCTCGAAGATATGTAGTTAATGATTGCCTTCTGTTCAAGACAATTATTTATTCTTTCCAATTTCAAACAAAGCGCTCCTGATTTTGTTCTTTATTTCATAGTAAAAATATGGAAATTTTTAAAATATTATTGAGAGTACATAGAAAGATTTGTTTTATTCAGGTTGAGTAAAGACAACATTATGTGTGATCTTTGATGAATCTTTGAAATTTTTTCAGACGAAAACTCTTCAAGCGACAATGTGTATGAAGAATGTTTATTGAAAGGAAAGATGAATTGTTTAGGATCATAATATATCTTATTCTTTGTCTCATTTTTCTTTTCTTTTCCATTCAGTATCGATATGACGTGTAGTGACATTGTTTTTTAATTTCTAATGAAATTTAATAAGATAAATCTAGTTATATTCACAATAATATTAGACAACTGAAATAACATAGTGACATTTAGCGTTTTTCTTTGATATCTTCTCTGATTTGACTCTAAATTTATACCAAAAGAAAATTTTACAAACTTTGAATAAATATTTGAAGATTGCAATTAGTTTTTAAGTGAGTATTTTAAAGAATGATCTATAATGAAATATCTGCAGAATTATTTTTTGAAAAATCAGTTTGATAGTTAAACTTCAGTTGAGAAAGGTGAATGAAACGTTGAATATTCCAAAGAAAGAAATTTGATTGAAAAAAATTTCTTCTTTTCTCGTGACTTTTTTCCTTGGATGAACAAATTCTTTTATTCAGCTATTTTCTTTCATACAATTTATTCAGGTCTTTCACAAGATTTTTCAACAAAAGAAGTAATACGTTTTTTATCTGAAATGATCGACATCTATGTTTTAAACAAAAAAAATTTAACATTGTCGCAATTCATATTTCATATGAAAATTAATAAAAATCATTCCTAAGATCAATATTAATAAACATTTCTAAAAGTCATTGTTATAAAAATTTCTTTGAAGAAACTTTATTTTTCTTCTACGAATATATAAATTAACAATTTCATTTCCTTCACAGTTCTCCACTAATATTCTATTTTTTTCGTTTTCAGCTCTTTCATTCAATCAACCAACGTTTTGTTCAACAGCTACTTGGAATTCCAATGGAATTACTTTTGCTAATCAATCAGTTGTTGGTCGAGATCCTCTTGCCATTTTTATTAGCATAAACAACACAATCTATGTCGCTAATCAACAAAATAATATAATTGTAGTGTTGCATGAAGAGAGTGTCAATCCAACAAACATCATTTACGGTAATTTTACAGAACTCAGTTCTCTCTTCGTGACATCGAATGGTGATATTTATATTGGTGATGGTGATTGTAGTTGTGGTTGTGATGGTGATTATCATGATGACGATGATTGTGAGGAGAATGCTCAAGTGCAGAAATGGAGTGCCGAAACAAATAACTTTGTCACGGTGATGATTGTCAACTCATCCTGTTATGGTTTGTTTGTCGATATTAATGATACTCTTTATTGTTCAATGTACGAATTTGATCAAGTAGTGAAAAGATCATTATATGATTCTGTAATGGCTTCAAATCGTCTTGCTGCTGGAACAGGTATTCAAGGATCAGACTCAAATCAACTCGAAGGTCCTCTTGGAATTTTTGTCGATATAAATTTGGATTTATATGTGGCAGATTGTGAAAATCATCGAGTTCAGTTGTTCCAGTTGGGAGAACCAAATGGTATCACAGTGGCTGGAAGTGGATCACTAAATCCAACAATTACGCTTAATCGTCCAAGTGGAATTATATTAGATGCTGAGAAATATTTGTTCATTGTGGATCTAGGCAATAGTCGCATTGTTAGCTCAAGCTTGAATGGCTTTCGATGTTTAGTTGGATGTTATGGAGAGGGTTCTCAATCCCGTCATTTGAATAAGCCATTTAGTTTGAGTTTCGATCATTCTGGAAACATATTTGTTACTGATGAAAAAAATTCTCGAATTCAAAAATTTAAATATTTAAAAAGATATTGTGGTAAGTTGAAGTATAATCGAAATAGTTGATGAAATGTGAATGTTGATAATGGAAAGGTATATAGTTTTCGTTAGAAGAAACTGAGATTCGAAGCAAAAGAAAATACTATACATGAAACGTTTTTGATCGAAAAACTATAAAACTGTGTAAATGAAATAATTGATTAATTTGAGAATTTCAATATAAAACTAGTAAATTCATTTAAAATATGAAATTTCAATTGGCTATAGATATTCTTCTTTTAAATATTCTCGTCTTTCATAATGTGAAGATGATTATCTCATTAGAAAAATCATCAAAGATTTTGATTGTTATCCAAAGAATAAAATACAACTTCTTAGATGGTACGTAGAGACTATGTCATCAATGTAAACAATATTACGTTTTATCTGATTGGTTGCGGAAACAAACTTCAGTCAAATCTAACCATATAGAAGTTTCTTTCTATCTCTTTCACTGGTCGTATTTTGTTTCGAAATTTTAAGTTTTGTGGAAAAGTCAAACATTGTGCTGTGCATGTTGGATTAAAGAATTGGATTAGATTCTTTTCGACACTGTCAGATCTACGCCATGTTTTCTCATTTCAAAATGACGAAAGACAAATAATATCGCAGAATAAAGTTAAATCATTTTTAATGCTTAATGACTGAGAAACAGTTTTTTATCTTTTTGAACACAAATCATCAGCTCAATGCGTTAGAGACGTATATTTAAAGCGAGTAAAATTCCTATTTAAAAAGATTTGCATCCCTGTGAGTTCATGATAAACATCAATTGATTTTAATGTTCATTTAGCCAATACTTCCTCAGTTTTCCAAAATGTCTATTCATCATCATTGACTAACAACAATCAAATTTATTACCGAGATTGTGACAAACAAAATTTTTACTATGAGTCTATTCAAGTGAAGGTGATCGAAAGTGGTTACTACACTTTTCGTGGTAGTGGTGACATCGATCCGTATGGATCTATTTACGAAATCAAATTTAATCCACTTGTTCCGCCAGAGAATTTGCTCGATCAAGATTATGACGGCGGCTCTGATATTCAATTTAAACTTAATATCTATCTTGATGTTAACATGCTATATGTATTGGTTGTAACAACATTTGATTCAAAAGAAACTGGAGATTTTTCGATTGTTGCGTTGGGTAAAAACAATGTTATTCTCGAGCGTCTTAGTAAGTATATAGATATATATATTATATATTAAATAATTCGAACAAAATATATAGTCTATCCTCTAAATTCAATTCCATCTTTTATTCTTCACCTAGAGAATGTAATAAATTCATGCTAGCAGATATTAAGGCATTTTCTAGGAGGATATCTACTCTTGCTTTTTTCTACCACTGCCTTAGTAGATGGATATTGTTCAGTTTCCACAAGTATTAAATGAAAAATGTTATAAAAAGAATAGTCAATAAGATGTTTGGAGATATCTGACAATCAAATGCTGAAAATCCAAAGAGTATCTTCCTGTATCTCAGCACTTTTAGATTTCTGTTACATACTGATTTCAGAATACCCCCTTAGAGAATGTGAATTTGGTACGTTTACTAATCTCTATCTATAAAATTAAATCTTCATAGAAAGTCTCAAAGATTTCGCTTTCATCGTTGTTAGATAATAGTTTCATGAATTAATCGTTGTTGACCTATTTCTGTTTTTTATTAGTCAATAAATATTTACTGAATGAAATGTGGAAGACAAAAATTACTAATAGTATCGAAGATTTCAGAATTTTAATATTAAAATAGATCGATTGAAATATTGAGAAATTGATCAGAAGTGACTCCATCTGAAGATTCTATGCATGATTTGACTTTTTTTTATTGAACAGGTACTCCAGTAATTCAATTTAAATATTCATCACAATTAACTGATGATAGCCCAACATATTATCGAGATTGTCAAGTACCACAATGTCATTATGAAACTTCACAAATTCATGTTAATACAACGGGTTTGTATGTTCTTTGGAGTGAAAATAATATTAATGCATACGGATATATCTACCAAAATGATTTCAATCCGCTAAATCCATCTGAAAATTTGCTTCTGTCACATGGCGGTGAATGTAATGATGGCGAGTTCGAATTAATCATCGATCTCGAAATCAACACTCGATACATATTAGTTGTGACAACACACGATCCTAGGATAATTGGAGACTTCTCTGTTTTTATCTCTGGACCAGCCAATATCAGTCTTAGTTCTTTCAGTACGTATTTATATGAATTTTTTGCATCACAAACTTATAAAGCTATAAAATATGTGAGAAAAAGATTTCTTGTATTTTTTTTGATTAGTGAGCAATTGTTATTTCAGATTTTGAAAAAATATCTATCGAGTTATTGAATTAAATAGCTTTCAGAATCTCTTAATCGATTGATTTGCTAGAAAAGATACTTGCTTAGTATGAAGTGTAGATAGATTTTCCAAACTTTGAATGTTACTACGTACATCCTTTTAAATCTTTACGGATGTGGGGTTTTCGAAGACGTGAAATCTTGCAAAAGTAAACCTTTCTCTCATAACTTTTTCTATTTCTCGAAATCAGTAGTGAAAGGTGTAGATGTTTCAATACACTGGAAAATGTTTTCATTTGAGAAACAAGTAGATTGCCAAAACAACTGAATTCCTTCAATATTCTCTTTTTAAAATTTATCCAATATTTTAGGTCCAACGGAAAGTAGTTGTGTCATCGGTGATCAATGTAACTTTTACATCAAAGGAATTGGTTTGACACTCGATGATATTTTACGCGATGAACTTCAACCGAACAAGGTGTTGAACAATCAATCATTTTCGATTAAACTAACTGCAGGCTTAACAATAATTATGTTTGTCGCAGGATTAATCAATAGTATTCTTTCGTTCATTACATTTCAAAATAAAGATTCTCAACAAGTTGGATGTGGAATGTATCTATTGACATCATCGATCACTTCTCTTTTGGCAATTAGTATGTTCATAATTAAATTCTGGTTTGTTGTTCTTACTCATATCAATGTGTCCACTAGCCTCTCTGTTCTTCGTGGAGGTTGTGCATCTATCGAACCTATTCTAAAACTTTTTCTTTACTTGGATGGTTGGCTTAATGCTTGTGTAGCAGTTGAACGAGCAGTGCTTATTCTTAAAGGAGTGAAATTTGATAAAAAAAAGAGCAAATCTATTGCTCGACAAACACTTCTTATCGTTCCATTTTGTATTTTTGGTACTCTTATTCACGAGCTCGTATTTCGCAGATTGTTCGAATATGAAACAGCACCAGATACGACAGATGCGAGTAAGACTAATGAAGACACAATCAAGCGATATGTATCATGTATCACTCATTATTCTCCTTCTGTCCAACATTACAATACAGCCGTTCTATTTTTTCATCTTGTTGGTCCATTTATTGTTAATCTTTTCTCTGCATTGTTCATCATCTGTGGAGGTGCTCGACAACGATCAATGGTACGAACTAACCAAAGTTTTAAAGAACATATTCAACAACAATTCAGTGAACATAAACAATTAATCATTAGTCCAATAGTTTTACTTGTTTTAACAATACCTCGTCTCATTATTTCATTACTTCCTAGTTGTGTGAAAACATCTGAAAACTTGTGGTTGTATCTTGGACCATATTTCATTTCTTTTACTCCTTCGATGCTGATCTTTCTTATCTTTGTCTTTCCTTCAGAATTGTATATGAAAGCGTTTAAACAATCGTTCATTCGTATTCGACAACGTACTGCTATGTAATCAATGCGTTCAGTTTCAATGACAGGGCTATATTATAATAAATACAAAAGACATTATTTATTTATTTATTTGCTTCTCGTGATGAACCAATGGGTACATTGTTGCATTTGAAAATCATGTTGGGAAACAGATATTGAGCGCTTCTAGCTCACTTTGGATTATCATCAATTGAAACGATAACATGTTGAATAATACCAGATAATGCAAACATATAAAACGACTGCTGTTCTGTACTTCTACCAATTAGAGATAATCGAGATTCATGAAGAAATGTTGCGCAATAGTTGATGTGTCTATTAGACTAAGTGTTAAAGCTTAGAAGAAACTATGTCAAATTTACACAAACTATATTCTTTGCAACATTATTCACATTTCTTCTTGTCTGTCTATTATGTGCTTTTCATGTGGCTTTATTTTCTGTAGTAAAATCGAGCAGAAGTGCTGAGATATGCAAAAAGAAAGAATTGAGTATATTTTCTATGAAACTTCACATGAGTCTCTCGAACTGATACTGAAAAAATGTTTTGATCTCATAAAGGATCGCGTCCGATGGCATAATATATCTGCAGAAAAAAACTAATGGAAACTATTTTGAGAATGTGAGTTAGTGTGAGTATGTGTCTGATAACAAAATATCCTTAGGCACACCCATACTCTCACACCTGCTCATATCGGAAATCTTTATTTGCTTTTTCTTGACAAGAGGAAGACACTTAGAGCACCTAGAACTATTAAACCTGATAAATTTCAGTTCATGACAAAAGAAAAACAATTTATAGAAAGAGAAATTTTTTCTTTCTGATAGTAATAGGAAAATATTAGTCTATGAAATCATATACATTCATGGAACATTCTCAAAACAAAAGTTTTTAGATAATTAGTTTTATTCTTCAACTCTTAATACAAACATAAAATAACAAATTTAACATAAAAGTAAAATATTCGATCTTTCATTAGTCTATACGTACATAATCTTTAAACAAATATTTAAATGCTTCATTTCTCACTCTTTTATTCTTATAAAATAAGAATATTGGCAACATTGCAATAGCTACTATCACTGAATTAACTGATACAAAATATAATTCTCTTGGTGCCATTCCATTTTCTATTAAATCCCAAAGTATAAGAACTAGATAAGGTGCACCACCACAAATAAGAAAGTTCAAAATAATTAACATATTTCTCAGTACGATTAAATTTTTTCGAACAAAATTTAATGAAATACAAGCAGCAGTGATCTTTATAATTCTATTTGATCCAACTCGATGTGTCGATTGACAAACTTGATGAAGAATTAAACCATAAACAATTAATACAAAAACTTTTGGAAAAATATATAAGAGAATAATAGAATATGATGCCACAGGTAATTTATGTGTTTTAATTCCGCACATTCGATGTTCTTCTACAACTTCAAAACTATCTTCAATAAAAAGTGGTCGAATAGCTACTAAAAAACTTGCTAACCATTTAATAATTATTAAAATATAATGTGTACGCCAAGTCAATAAAAATGTATGAGTATAAAAAATTGAAAAAAATAATCGACTAATTGCTTGAATTAAAAATGAATAAGTTATAGCAGCAACTGTTGTTGTTATTAAATACATACGTAAAGTACAGAATGGTTGATAAGAATACCAATCATTACGAATACCATAATAACATCCAATAAGATGTATAATTAAATACAATATCGATGATATAGATAAATCACATAGGAGTAAATTATGTATAGTGTGACATTTTCGATGATTTACAATAATAAAAGTAAGTAAGAAATTAAATATAATACCAACAAGTGAAGCGATAATAGAAATTGAAAAATTTATCTGATAAAATAATTCAGAAAGCATATTTTGATATCTTTACAAAATCTAATGCATTTGTTGGCAGTTGCTGATAGATGAATCGATGTCTCTTTTGAGGAGACAAGTTCTGACATATAGTATAGAATCTTTTTCATATTTTTCTCTCAAAAGAAAATAGAAAACATGCGACTCTCATTTCCGTTTTGTTTTTCTATTCACATAGGTAATTAGAGTGCTGCATATGTTTTGAGTGTTGAATCATCAAATTTTGATGTTATTCATCATTTTCATATACAAAAGTTTTCAATGAATAATTTATCCGCTGACTGTTAACACTATTTTTTCTTCTTGTAATACAAAAAAAAGAAGTTTTTTATATTCACGCTCATCATATAAATAATATCGTTTTAATTGTATATTGACGTACATCTACAAAAAATTTATCTATCTGCATGTCATTTTTTATTCGATCATAAAATGTCAAACGTTTGGAATTAATAAAGCATTGATATAGAAATGCTTGTGAAGATATTCAAGTTGGAAACTGTTGTTCTTTCATAGAAATTGGATTTTAGTTATAAAACGTTCATTAGTGCTTAAAAGATATTTCAAGTAAAATTATATTTCAGATAACTGTCTACCTTGACGATTCTTTTCAAGCGTCTCATCGACAATTGTATACATGAAAAATATATATTATTTTGAAGAGCATTACAGAATAAATCTGAAGAGAAGAAGAAATTAAAAGGCGCATTTTTTCTGGGGCACCGCTTAGTTAATTAATTAATTAGACGGTTGATACATACTAAACATTAATAACGTCGAGATTGTAGATGAAATAGAGGATTATTTTTATTTAGTTGTTTTGTTTGAGATGTATTAGTATCACTAGTAATTAAATAGTGTTCTAGAAAGTAATAGAAACAGTGAGAGAAAACGATGGAATGAAATAAACAAGATTAGGTATGAGGCATTCAAAGGAATATATATTCGAATTTATACAAAAACATGTTCGGTTCTGTTTACGAATAAATCTGACGCATTTTTTTTTTCTTAAATGAAAGATAAACGAAGATGTTTTCTAGTTCTGCAGCATTTCACGATGAAAATTCTTACAAAAAATATATTTTATTTCCACGCAAGAAGGAAACAACTGATTCTTGATTAGATATGAGTTTAAGTGATTAGGACAGTTAGCGGATTCATAACCAGCTGTTTTCCTCTTATGCGACATGGTATCTTTTTTGGTCATTTGCGTGTCAAATTGATACATCAAAATTTGGTGGTATTGTAGCAAATTTAAATATTAATGAAAGTATTTCTGACTATGCAAAAGATATCACTCTAGTTGTTATTATTTCACAATTGACTAGTTTGATACATCAATATCTCT